TGAATGAAGTAAGACGTTTTTGCTTTTTTTGCTGATGTTGAACGGCAGTAGGTAATGATTGGCTTAGACGTACCTACCATGTTAGAAAAAAATGGAAAAAATAGAACACGTGAATAAAACCAGCACGCGTGTTGTTATTTTAAATATTTTTGTCCCACGTATGTGCCAAATATTCAAATACTGAGCCAAAATAGTGTTAATGGATGCCATTTGTTTTAACAAGTCCTGTTTCGAGCAGGAGTGGCACGGTGCATGGGTTACTGCTGATCGCCCTCCCTTCAAGAAGATCAAACAGTAAATCGACCGAATAAGGAAAAAAGCTAGAGGGAATGTGTCACCCTGAGGCCTGACCCATCAATGAGACTAGTTGCCAGTAGCAGTCATGACTGCAGGCCGTGTTGCCGAGATGGGAGTGGCCCGTTCACTCACATTTTTTAGTAAACATCTGAGCAAAAAAGTAATTTTTACATGGCATGCTAGAAACACGAACCATTTAAAAGTAATTGACCGAATAACATAAAAATCATACCATCCACTGAAAATGTATGCCGCATTGACTATTGGAAGTTGTAATGTTGTATCGTTATCGCTTTCTGAGAAATATTGATTTAAAGTTGGGAACGTTTTTTCTGGGCCACCCGGTATTTTCAGCAGTTTTTTAAGCACATCATGGCAGCTTATAAACATTTGTGTATTTTATCGGCAACCCGGCTGGCCAGACCGAGACGGTGCCGCATTTAGTTCTCATCGATGTTAAACCTATACGCTTATTTTTCTCCACTGACGAAGGCACGTTGTTGTCCAAAACGTTTGGTTTTATTCGCATTGTTTTTACCCCCTGTTTTTCACCAATAAATCGCGGCAAAGCGAAGGATTGCGACGATTCTTTGGTGCCCTGGAGTATCAATTTTACAACTTCCCGGAAAATTAAATAGCCCTGATCATTTTTGCATCTTGTCTGAAAATTTTAAATCCCTGAACCAAATTACCTTTAACCCTCGCACGACCAGGCCATTTCTCATAACACGAACGACCAGGGGGGGGGGTTGTTACGACCCCCCCCCTGGCGTTTCGAAACGGAAGGTCGTAGAGCTTAGCGGAAAAAACCAACGGATTGCTCTCAACGAGATCTCGCGATTGGTGGTATATTTTTTGGTCCTAGGTCAACATTTGACCTACTTATGACCGGTCAAAGGTCAAATTTTCCGAAAAAATCAAACTTTTTCAACTTTCCGCGGCGATTGCGGCAAAACGGTGAGAGATATCGACTTGAAACCTTCACTATCGTGTTCCTTGATCAATTCTCTATCGTTTGGTATGTATTTCGTTTCCCTAGCTCTAAAAATGGCGCGTTGGGAGCGCCGGAAGTCGGCAAGGTCACAGTCGGCGGCAGAAATTCGAAAAATCAAAATTTAAATTTTTGAAATCTGATTGTATTTTTGGATTTGGGAGGTCCATTTGCTCCCTATAGAAGCTAATATTGCTGCATATTCCCATTGAGGTGACAAGAATTAGCAAAATAGTGGTTCGGGCGCTTTTCAAAAATAGTACCGGACGCTGTTCCTCTTGTGACGTCATAGCTCCGTGACCTGACCTGACCCGGTCAATTTTTTTGCACCACACGATAGCCAATGCTTGCCCCAACATGCATGGGAAGTTTCATCATGATCCATCAAACAATGTGGGTATCACTGGCAGAAAACCTAGGGATTCGGCGCACACGTTTGGTAACTGTCGGCCGGAGGCTGTACCTCTTATGACGTCATAACTCCGTGACCTGACATGACCCGATCATTTTTTTTTCGGCAAAAGATGCGCAAAGGTTGCCCCAGAGGGTATTGAAAATTTCAGCCCGCTACGACAAGCCGTTTAGCGAGCACTTCGAAAAAACCTCAGGGGGGGTTGATACAACCCCCCCCCCTAGGCGTTCTAGGGTTAACCTGTGATTATTTTTCTCAAGATCATGTCAGGCCAGAATAGCAATTGCCAGTCAGCGCACATCTTCTGTGTGTTTCCATAGTCGTTTCGTGATTAGCAACGTGACAACATGTGAAATATACTATCTAATGTTTGTCTCATTAACCCGGCAGGCGGTGGGCCTACCAGCCACCTTCCGCGCGGTGGGGGGGGGGGGGGGCACTTTTTTGCCCCCCCCCGTATCTCCGAAACTACTGGACGGATCCGGAAAATTCAAACGGCGTTCGATAGCCCTGTCAAATTTGTCGAGGGAAACCAAATTTCATTGACCTCGGGGTCACCGATGACGTCACAGGTCAGGTCAAAGATAAAATGTTTCACCGTTCACGGGGCTTCTAGGGAAAGCGCTATAACACCGAGTAAAACGCATTTTGTCGAAAATCAGCGATAAGGCGTCAGTTGTCTAGTACATATGTTGCTATTAGAGGTCACTGGTCATACCAGGTCAGGTCACAGGTCAGGTCACCAAAGGTCACCAAGGGTCACCACATGAGCCCAACTTTACTAAGGTTATGCCATGCATGTTTTATGGCCAGTTTTTCATTTCCAACTCAATGGTGTTGGTTATAAGACCATCAGGTACGGTTTAGGTCACTTTCTGGTGGAGGTCAGGTCAAGGTCAGGTCAAAAAAGGTCAAATTTCAAAGTTGATATTTTTGCATAAAGTGGGTATCGATTCGATGCAGCTCGTCACGGGGAGTCTAATGGTGGTCTTTGTTTTGCGCTACGAGGTCTAGAATTGCTAAAAATTGAGTTTGAAAATTTGACGTCATCAATTTTGAACAGTTTTTTCGCTATAACTTGGCCAAAAAAAGAGGTATCGATCTCAAATTTGGTATGTAGATAGAAGGCGGTAGGGGCTATCACATATATTCCGGTTTTTTCGAAATTCAAAAAAACTTTTTGGATTTTTAGTCTATTATATTCAAAAAATCTATTTTTTTATTTTTGGGGGTCAAAATCCAAAAAATTCGAAAAACCGAAATAGCAGTTTTGTAGCCCTCTTAATTCAACATCTTTTATGTCTGAAACATTTTTATGTATCTCTAAAGCTGTAGGCCTTACAGCTCTTCCCGCGAAACCTTTTTTTGGGTCGAAAATGGCAAAAATGACGTCACTCTGACGTCAATAGCGGCCAACCTATCATAGCCTTTGGAAAAATTTTTGGTCACCATGTGCGCTAGCTGCTCTCGGGAGGGTACTGAAAGTTTGGTGACGATCGGCGCAGCGGTTCTCGAGATATATCGAAAAAACTAAAGGGGGGGCAAAAAAATGCCCCCCCCACCGCCTGGAAGGTTAATTGTTGTGGGTGCCAAGGTCACGTGAAACTCAGGTTAAGGTCATGTACTTGAAATGATCTCGGTTAACTTCCTTAAATTTACACCTTTTTACTGTGGTTTTTAGGAAGTGTTGGTTTGAAATTTAGTACCAATTTAAGCATTTGAAAACTAGGCATACCTAGATATCAGTTATAGTGCCTATGCAGTATGTTGCAAGGCTGTAAGTGCTGGTTAACATTCTGTGGATAGCCGGCAGAACGCCTAATGGGTGATCTGGCGTGACCCGTCCTACCCCAAATGCTTTGATACTCTATCAAATCGAGCACGTCAGTGCCATTGGCTCGACCGGCAAACTATTCACTCATCTTATTCACTCTCATCAACTCATTCACTTATCACTATCGTCCTTTTTGGGTCGGCCGTAAGCCAGAAAACGCTTGACACCAGAATTTGAGACCTGAATTTGAGCCGAAGGACGGAGGAACTGAGCCATGGCCGGTGTCGAAAAATACACCAGTAATGCAGACATTCGCAGCCCGTTTGTGTTTGCCTGCGAGACTGCCGCGCCTCGCTTCCGTTTGAAATACGTACAATGTAAAGGCAGTTTTCATCTGGAATACCTAGAATAAACCGTAGTTTGAGTGGAATAAGGTCGCGTGACCATGTAAGGGAAAAACGAGTGTAAATTTTGTCGTCCTTGCTCGGCATTGACAGCTTCCTTCTGAGCCGAAATTGGCGCCCTCCTGACCCGAAATTGGCGCCCTCACCAATTCTAGCCCCCTCCAAAAAAATTCCTGGCTGCGCCCCTATTGATACATCATCTTTGATCAAAGCAAGTGCAAATTCGGAGTCAGAAGCAAGCCAAGTCCCAGCAAACTTCACTAGTAGAAATTCTAGCAGGACCCAATTTTCCGTGCTTTTGGATTATTAACCTGATCTGGGAGGTCAACCAGTGACCTAGGATCTCAGCATTGACCAGGACATAAAAGTAATTGGCTTTCTCTCGTCAGCGATGACCAGAACCCTCAAATTATCGGATTTCTCTCGTCACGAGCAGCTCGCTCCTTTTTTTATTTTTCAGCAAAGCTCTGGCTCTTTTTATCAAGGGCCAAATGGCTGAGGGTTTCTACGCCCCTCCGCTACATGTAAGACGCTTAAAAGAAATGCCTAAATGGGTGAGGATTAAATATTGATTGGTTTTTAAGTGCCGAAGCCCGAAACACTCTAATTTACTTCGATAGCAGTTTTTAAGACCAACAAGCTCGAATACTATAACTTCTTGAACAATGTAAGCACCGCATAAAATGAATCGTGAGAGAAGCGGCTCAAGATTAAGAAGCTATGAGACACTTATTAAAAAACGGCATAGATTAGAAACTGCACCTAACTTGCACTGGTTTTTAAACCTTTTCGTTGCAGACTGGTAGATTGCATTTTAGGATTGATTTCAGCTGATGCTCAAATGGAGCTATTCATTCGTTCATTCATGCGACCATCCAATTCCATTCATAAAAGAAGCCAGTGACAAAATTGTTCATTTTAGATAAGTGTGAAATACAAATTCAATAAAAGTTTAATGATACGGCAAATTTGACAGCTTTTATGATGAACAGACAAATAACTTTAACAAATCAAGGTTGAGAGCCCCAAATAGGGGAGAGTGAGGTAAGATGAGCCAAGGGGCAAGTTTAGCCACCCCATGTTTCTCAGCTCCTATGGCGCTAATTGTTAAATACTGAGAGGTCCAAGCAGCACTGTATTGTCGTCACGACACCAGCCCGTGTGGGCACCGGGCACAGACTGGCACACCCAGCCGCGCGGCCGCCGGACGCCGGCCGCCAGGTCACGCCATCAGCGCCTCAGGCTATCTAGCCCAGCTGGCCGGCACGGCACAGCCAATCCCAGCCACAACACCTCCACCCCAAATTTCCACTATCAACAAAAATGGCCAACTAAATTGAGACTACCAAACATAAACAACACAATGGACACCCGGAAACACCCTACGCAGGATATAGTTGAACCGGTCGCCGCTCTCGCACAGGATAGCGCCGCGATTGTTCAGGATTCTCAGGAGCTTGACGCGGTGCATGCTCCAACGTATCACTGCCAATCGATACACACTCGCCCGCATCACCAGTCGATGGCCGTCCCACAGCGGCCGCCGGTGAGCGCCGCTCGGCAGAGGCGGCCAGTGCAGCACCGCCAGCCGACTCGGCAGCGGAACACTCGGACGCCCCGGCCGCAGACGGTGCGGCACACCGGAGGCTCGTTTGCCGAGATGGCGAGCACTCGCCGTCGCCGTCGGCAGCAGCAGGATTCAGCGGCTGCTGAAGCGGCGCCGGCATCAGAGCGAGGTCCACCGTCCGCCGATCCGCAGCCACCTCCGGCTCCGGTGCAGTCACCTCCGGCTCCGGTGCAGTCACCTCCGGCTCCGGTGCAGTCACGTCCTGCGCACACAATTGATTCATGTGACGTTTTTGCATCTGACCGTTTAACACGACCCAGTACAGTGGATGTAAACACTTCTTTACGACCGCTGTTGCCCACAATGGGGCATGTCTGCCATACTGTCTTGCCCAAACCAATTGACCAATCTCAAATGGTTGCCTTTTTGTCGGACATTTTCGCCTGTGGCCTTGCACCTGCGCCAACTGATTCTGCCTCACTTTACCTTCAATGTCTGGTTTCAGCTTGTCCAACCTTGTGATGGGCTTGTACCCCAGAAGAAGTTGGCCAGGCGTCTCTCCGGTGGTGGCGTGCGGCGTGACTCTGTACAGGAACAGCCATTTGTCGATGACTTCCTGCATGGAAAGATAAGACACATCAGACAGTTTGTCCAGTCGAACCTTTAGCTCACGGACCGCTCTCTCCGCCAGGCCGTTGGACTGTGGACAGTAGGGTGCGATGGTACGGTGATCGATCCGGTTCCGAGTCAGGAACTGCTGAAACTCAGAGCTGGTAAACGTGGGCGCATTGTCACTCACAATAACGTCCGGTAGACCGAAACGCGCGAACATGCCTGTCAGTGTCTTCACGGTAGACTTTGCCTCCATCGAGTTCATCATAGCCACTTCAATCCATTTTGAATGCGCGTCCACTAGGACCAAAAAATACTTCCCATTCTTCGGTCCAGCAAAATCTATGTGGAGTCTGGACCAGCTCCTTGGAGGATACTGCCAGGGATGCAGCTCCTCCTTCGGCGGGCTCGGGCTATGAACTCGGCACATGTAACACCGCGCGGCCAGAGTCTCCACATCCCTATCAATTCCAGGCCACCATACAGCGGTACGAGCGAGGGCCTTCATCTTTACCATTCCAAAATGACAGCTGTGCAGCTCAGTGAGTATAGATCTACGAGCGGTATCCGGTATTACCACTCGAGTACCCCACATTATCACGTTTTTGACAGTGTGCAGCTCTGTTTGGCGCATTGCAAACGGCTTTAGTGCGTCATCAGGTTTGTCTGGCCAACCAGTCCGAATGCAGTGTAAGACTCGACTCAGAACAGGGTCTCTATTGGTGAGCACGGCTAACTTGTCCGGACTGAGGATGCCAGTCTCCTCCAGATGATTGATGAGCAGCACATCTCCCTCCTCCGAACGCACTCGGTGATGATGCTGTGGAAGAGGCAGTCTGCTCAATCCGTCGGCATGGGCGATGTCATGCGTGGACTTGTAGCGAATGGTGTACGAGAACTCAGACAATCGTATGGCCCAGCGTTTGATTCGAGAACTAGCCATTTCGGGCATGCCCTTGTTCTCCCCGAACAAGCAAATCAATGGTTTATGATCAGTAACGAGCTGAAAATGGGCTCCATATATGTAATCTCTAAAACTTGTCACGCCAAAAATGATGGCCAACGCCTCCCGTTCGATTTGACTGTAGGCTGCCTCTGCCGGCTGAAGAGTTCTAGAGGCGTAGCCAATAGGTCTCTCTGACCCATCAGGAAAAACGTGGGAGAGCACCGCACCAGTTCCCCGACAGGAAGCGTCACATGCCAGGACCATTGGCAGTTCTGGATCAAAATGAACCAGCAGCTGATTTGAAACCAGCAACTTTTTGCACTCGTTGAATGATACTTGATGGCGTTTTTCCCAGGACCATGGCGTGTCTTTTTTTAAGAGATCATACAACGGTGACAGAGTCTGGGCACGGCTCGGAATGAAACGAGAGTAATAGTTGAATATTCCCAGGAACGACTTGAGCTCGGCCACATTTGACGGGACAGGCGAATCCGTAATTGCACGGACTTTCGCCTCCGTAGCATGAACTCCATCACTGTCCAAGACGTAGCCCAAATATTCTACTTTGTGAGCCAAAAACAAGCATTTCTCCGGCTTTACCTTGAGTCCTGCCTCCTGGAAGAGCCGCAGAACACGTTCCAGCCGCTGCAGAAGCTCGTCTTCGTCGTGTCCACACAGCAAGATGTCATCCAGATATATGAAGGCTCCGGGGACTCCCGCCAGCAGTCTCTCCATCTCGCGCTGGAAAATTCCCACAGCTGACGAGACTCCGAACGCCAGACGACGGTACCTGAACAGGCCGCGATGCGTGTTAATGGTAAGCAAATGGCGGTGCTCTTCAGCTACTTTTAACTGCTGATACGCCCTGCTCAGATCCAACTTTGCGAACACTTTTCCACCCGCTAGCTTTGCAAACATGTCTTTCACCCTCGGAACCGGATGTTTATCAACTTTGATGGCTCGGTTTGCCGTCTGTTTGAAATTCCCACAGATGCGGATAGTCTTACCGTCCGGCTTCACAATGGGCACAATCTGACAGGCCCACTCGGATGTTCGAACTGGCTCCAGGATACCAGCTTCCACTTCTGCCTCCAGCTGTTCCTCCACCTGCTTCCTGTAGGCGTATGGGATGTTTCGGGCACGGCAGAAGCGTGGCGACACAGACTCATCAAGTTCAAACTTAACTTCAACATCTTTCAAACATCCAAGTTCAGATGAAAACACATCAGCGTATTTCTTTTTAAGCTCTTGAACACGAGGGTCATCCCCAAATCTCACCTGCTTGATGTCTTGCCAGTTGAGCTTCAAGACTCTCAGCCAATCTCGGCCGAGCAGGTTCGGTCCGTTGGTGTCCACCACCAAGGCCGGCAGCTCCAGATGCTGACCGTCGTAGCGTTGACTTGAGCTTCCATGTGCCGTTTGCTTACGATGTTCACGTCTTTCACGTCTTTCACGTGAGACGGCAACGTTCTCACGCTCAGCCCCGGTAACATGTGGTATCGCCCCTAATAACTAAGACATGTTTGCCTTTAAAATGAGATGGTTGTTATCTGCGGTGCATGGTTATTTTCCTTAGCAGGTGTCATTAATCGAAAATGGCCACGGGTGGGGTAAGATGAGCCATTTTCACCTGGGGTAAGATGAGCCGGATAAGCCATTGTTGTCTCCGCTGTCGAAAACCAAACTGAGCTGCGCTTGTTTCTGCTGAATAAAAATGGTAGGAAATTGTTTTTTCTTTGTTGATTATGTAACAGCTGGAAGCTGTGACATTTTTTTTTCTCCGTACGTCAAAAAGGACATCTCTCACACTCTATACGTAAGGACGATCGCACTGCCTGCCGCGGCGCTGAGTCGGCGTGGGGAGGGGGTCGACCAAACGACCCCCGACTCGTCGGCCGGTCACCATTAAAGGGACCCTCCCACCTTAACATTAGTTTTGAGTTGAGATAGCCAAGTTTGCGGCCAGGCTCAGAAACCACCATTTATCCTGGTCGCAACCCCCGCAGCTTTATGGTGTTCAAGAAATTTCTTCCCTTTACTTGCAGGGTGGGACCAGCGTGGTCCCTATCTCTTAACCATTACGGGAATCTGATGACGTCATCGGGCTTTCGAACGTCCGTTAAATGTTTGACTAAAACGTTTTGTAGCACGCGGTGGTATATGCTGCTTTGCGCGCAACAAATGCCGCACTTTCAAATAAAGTCGCTAGGAACAGCGGAGATCCCAAAAAGTAAACAAAAGTAAAAGTCTAATATCTTGAAAACCGGTGAATATTTTTCGATGAAATTTGGTAGATATTCGTTTTTGCTCTTTCTGAACCTAGCGACATCACTTTCATGCCAATTCATTAACTTTTTTGAAGGTGGGAGGGTCCCTTTAAGCGAGGATCAAAGGCTCGCCGAAGGGTGGAGTACAAACACACCCATCCGGGCCGGCGCAGTGGCCGCCGACAAACGCAGCGCAGTCGGAACCACCTGCCCCGGTGCTGGACCAGCCACCGACATCCGGTGAAAATCGAGTGTGAAAACGTCATCCGGCAGGAGACAGCTGAGACGGATGAGCCGAGCAAGTGAGGATGACGTCACGTTCCGGCGGAATGGAGGGAGGAGGGCGACGGTCTCGACTCCGGATGCGAGACGGGATGTCGCCAATTTTCAGCCCCGGTCAGGGCTGCCGCCGGAGGTCATGCCAGGAAAGGACCGATTAACTGTCCCGGTCACAGAAATCGACCCCCGCCGGAACCGGATAACGAAAGGAATAAAATCGGACCGCAGAAGAAGAGAGGGGGACAGAGCACGGTATCGGACCACGGGTGACAGACCACGGGGGAGGAGAGCTCATCTGGACGGCGGGTCGGCCGGCACGTCTCAGTCTGAGGCTGGCCGACCCCACCCCTGCCGGAGCGGAGGGACTCTGCTGCCGCGACGGAGATTCGACGTGTCAACCATCATCAAACTGTCAAGTGAGTCATCTCATCTGTCCGCCTCATCAAGACTGCCTCCCCGTCATGGACAATTCACCTCCCATTTACCCATCGGATGTCTCTGATCTGGATTACAAATGCCACTCCCTGAGGTCTAACTTGAGCCACCATTAGGAGGGTAATGGGTTAACACCGTGTAGGGGAGGGCGGTAGGATGGTCTCGCGCGCTCCATATTGCGTCCCGGCCGGGCAGGCCGCGGTACGATCTGTTTGTAAGGGTGGGCAGACAGGCTAATGGGCCCGAATGGTCTGGCCTTGTCTGTGGATAGAAGGGAGAGGGGTTATTGGGAAGCCGGGGCGGGTCAGTAACAGTCCGTGCGCGCTAATGGCTCATCTTACACTTGTATTGGTGCTAGCACTAGTGTCGGTCATTTGCGCTCGCGGCCCGACCGCGGTAGGGTGCGGGGGCCAATGCATTAGAGGGGAGGGGAACAGGTCAGGTGGTGTCATTTTTTGGGGCGCTGGTCACCACTGACGCGTCAAACTACGTCAGATGACGTCATGACAGTTCAATTGGCGATGCTTTGTAAATAATCTTTTTGCGGTTAGGGCGTTAGGATTAGATTTAAGGCTAAGTTGGCATTGGCGAGCTGACAACCGATCGTGGTACACCGGTTGAAATTGACCAGTATTGTATCGTCAGTTTGTAAATATAGCGTGAAAATTTAACAATCTGTCTGGGAAAGAAGGGAGGGTTACCTCAGATATGTTGCTGATTCGGATTCACAGAGACCGCTAGCGTAATTATCTTTAAGTTGTCACGTCGACCACACGACTTTACGCCGGCATAACCTCACAGGCTCACCGGGACTGCATCGCGGCGATCTGATCACGAATCAACGGAAACGCAATGATCACGCCCTCACGACGCGACCACCACAAATTCGTTTTTTTTTTTTGCTAGTAGGTCAATATAAGCTGCTCTACAATCTGACTTGGCTGGTCTCGGTAGATCAGCGTTTCAATCCACTATCAGTCTAGTGTTAATCCAAGGCGTATCAATCGATTCTCAATTCTTACAAAGTGCTATTCGAGATAAATCGACGGTCATCGTAGGATTGTCACATTCATGGGATAGACTCATCATTCGGATACGGTTTGTCATGAAGGCGGCCCAGAAGTCGTAATGTGTTCAGTTACAATTGGATAAGGAGAGTACGACATCGTAAACGTTAAACATTATTCTGCTCCTTCGACAGCTCAGCGCCAGAACAAGACTGAATTGCCTTCCGGGTTGTTATTAAATCAGCATTGAGTCGTTTCGTGATTCGCGTTCATATAACCGATACAAATCTGAATCACCATTTCAATCGTTATAAATTTATCGCTGTTCGTAACCTGTCATTCAATCCCCCTTTCTCCCCTAGCATTATCAGTACCTAACTGACATTGATGCCAGCTCCCCCTTCGAGGTATATCAAAGATTAACGCAGAAATGTCACGGTTGTTAAATTGATGCATCATTTGAGACCTTTAATCATAAACGTCAAGCGAGTTACCGTTCGATGTGACGTGACTATGACAAAATATGTCACCCTGCTTGTACTCAACTAGAGTTGGTTACGGAGGGAAGCGAGGAATTACCACCGCCTATAATCACCATTCAGGTATGACAGGGACCGTTTTGTTCAGATCGGATTACTGAACGGTCTGCAGACCCCAATTAATTGACAGGAACCATGTAACGTGCACGGTCACACCACGCATTATGCCGCCGGGCAGCATTGCCTACACTTCCAGCCCAATCATGTTAGTTAACACCGGGATTCGGGAACGTGATCACGCCCACCCGTTCTTTGAAGTAGTTAATGTGAGTAATTTTGGGAGTATGTTGGGCCCCGTAGGTTTTACTAAAACTGAGCGATTGTAGTCAGAACGAAATGGAAAACGTATGCCCCTTGACCTTAAACAATTAACAGGTTAATAGCTGCACCGACGGCAGCGCCCCTAGCGCCACCTACAAGACCCAACTCTTTCGGTACAAACTCCGACAGCGCTCAGATGCAGCTGACAGTGCCACCTGGCGTGAAATAGGCCGGGCTGGTTCCCAATACGGCCGCGAGAGCTCGCTCGTGTGCACGCATTTATGCGTGAGCTGAAATAAGTGAGTGAGAGGATGAGTGAATGAGTGGGCGCGTGCGGGAGTGGGTGAGTGAATGGGGGCGTGAGTGCGTATGTACATTAGAGGGAGAGAGAGTGAGCGAGAGAGAGAGAAAGAGAGAGAGAGAGAGAGAGAGAGAGAGAGAGTGAGTGAGTGAGTGAGTGAGTGAGTGAATGAGTGAGTGATTGATTGAGTTAGTGAGTGAGTGAGTGAGTGAGTGAGTGAGTTAGTCGGTGAGTGAGTGAGCGAGTGGGTGAGTGAGCGAGTGGGTGAGTGAGCGAGGGAGTGAGTGAGCGAGAGAGCGAGAGAGAGAGAGAGAGCGAGAGCGAGAGAGAGAGAGAGAGAGAGAGAGAGAGAGAGAGAGAGAGAGAGAGGGAGGAGGATGTCGAAGCAAAACGTTTTAATTCAGTCTTTACAAAGATCGACCCCATAAATGAAAGCTTTTGGTACGAATTAGATGCGTGGCACTCTACTACCACCTAGCCAGTATAACCTATTACATCCACTAGGCGGCGCCAAAAGCGTCGATGAGTCAGAATGGTCGCCGGTCAGGTGTGGAACAAGGTCATGTCACCGCTAAGCTCATAATTACAAGCGTTTAAGGATGCTTATCACCTAACCCTCCACGTTGGCTTAATTTACAAATCTTGTATATGTAGATTCAATGAAATATCTTTTGTTTAAAGGACTCAGACCAACAACAAGCCAAAGGTCTGAGTTTCAACTTCGTTTCAACATCTAAACTTCATAAGATAGCTTTTGATCACAGGGCACATTCTCAAATGATCTAAATAACATTTAGTGATCATTGCATTGGAATACGTTCAATTTGTCGAAACCTTTCAAGTAAGGCGTGATAACTCATTTAACCAGCAGGCAAAAGTGACCGTCATGCTAATTTAACCCAGCTAAGGCAAACGGCAAGGACAGTTGAATCTCACGAATGCTATCCGCCATCCGGTCCCCATCGGATTGGAGAGCGCTGGCCCAGCAAGCCCTCAGCTCAGCGGAACCGCGAACAATGCACCAATATGGACCTGCTGAGAGAAAGAAATTATCTGTTAAGACAGTTGGACGAACCCTTCTTTCAACGATTGACCCACGCTGATCTCAGTAGGAAGACGGACAAATTTGCGGGTGGTCAAAAAGGGGAGAAATAGACAGCAGTCACATATGATCAAAATTTAGTAAATCTTGGTGAACAACTCTACAGTCTAATTCTGGGAGAAACTGGTTACCTTTGTCAGTCGAAAGCAAACTGTACATCGCGAGGCATGCTACCAACTCAGATTAGCAGATAATTATAGGCTAAAGGCAGGAATGGAGAATTAATTGTGTTATGATTGAGCGCGCATCACTAAAACTTAGAAATTGAAAGGAAGAAAATGACCCACCCCAGTCACATTTCTAGTGTCATTCCCTAACGAACAGGTACTACAATATGTCAAAGGTCATTACCACCCAAGCTAGGATGACATTCCATCTCATGTCATGTGTGGCGTGGAAAGCCACTGGCAACCGTGCTTACAAAGTTTTGAAGGGATACGTTGAAATTGAAGAATGCAAAGATGATATGAAATTGTGGCAGATCACCCCATGATCCAGATTAAGGTTTGATACCAGACATTTTTGTTTCAAAACTATCTTTTGCCTAAGCGTCAGCCAAGAAGCAAGGAGCTTATTGGTTAGTTTGCGTTCCGCTGACCCTGACGAATGGCATGAGTACCCACTCAGTCAGCGGGATATGCCAGTTAGTAAATTCAGATGATAAACCAGTAACGTGCACCAATTCAAGTCAGATTATTCCCAGTAACATCCAAGGTTATTTGATCCCTTTCTATTGACATGATCTATTAAACATGGAATTTCAATGCTTATGACCATTGACCTCTCAGTCACAAGTCACGACTGATCTCATATCTGGCCTCGGATGCTAGCACCACAGTTTCGGACCAGTATGGTTTCACTTAAAAAGGGGTATCTTGGAATTGAAATTTATAAGGCATCAGTGACTATAACAATCTTTGTCGGGTGACGGAAGAGATACAACGATGATTACACCAGTCTGAGTCTTTGTTGAGCCATTAATTTAGTTTGAAATTAGCACCATTCTCCATAGGCCAGTTCCCATTAGCTTGTTAAAAGTTACTGCTCTTGCCTTTTTTATTTAGTCTGAATGGGTGAATGGGCAGAGTTGAGAAATCAGAGCTCGCACTAAGCATAGCTTGTTGTGCTGAACTCGGCCTGCCAACCGACCGCACAATTCCAGTTGCATAGCATAAAATTGTCCGAAAGTTTAACATGTCCTCATGACTGGACACAGCCCCCCCCCCTTGATTTGATATAACCATTTCTCATTGCTGATGTTCCCACTCGAATAATTGGATATCACATTTGCCAAAATTTGTATACCTTCAACAACATAGCAATCGGTAAACCGAGCTTCCTTAAATTAGAACACCACAAGTCAATTGTCAATTGCAAGTTGAATAAATCATCTGGTCGAGTATGTCAATAAAAATCTGCATTATAAAATTGATTCTCAAAAATCGGTTCAGTAAGATAACATGAAACCACATGGGTTGGATTGTTTTTAAATCAAAATGCCAAATTGAGACTAATCCGGCGCACTACCTTAGAGTTCCCTTGATGCAAATACTTAAGACCCCAGAGAAATTTGCGACAACGTGGCGAGGGACGCCAGGCAACAATCCACAAAAAAAATATTCATGATCACAAATGATTGGGCACTACCGAGAATTACTTCATTAAATCACGGGCAACTCTCAGAATAGTCGAGTTGAAATTCCGATCAAAGTTAGCGTCTCCAAGGTTGAACGAAGAGAAGTCAGAGTGTACTAACCCGCAGGCGACAGGATCTTATGACGTCATTACCAATCAACAAGTATGAAACTGGCCATCTCCTAGAAATATGACGTCACTGAGTGAATATAGCAAGCTACGGTAGACGTTTCGGCTGATAGGCGTAAATATCGTGTAGATGAAAGGTAGTAGATGGTCTGAGTATTTGGCGGCGCAGATTTCTCTATCCAATGTTTTTTTTTTGTTCATGTCGCGGGTAACAATTGACTCGTACCGCGCAGCGGTGCGCACATGGACTGAAGGGATTCCACGGATCAGACAGGTAAGGAGATACAGAAGGAGTGACTCTGAAGTGGTCGATAGGTATTGAAACCGGAATTACACAAGGAGGAACAGATCTAAGGATGGATGCTAGCCGAAGAGGAGGTATGTTGCAACACTTTCATGTGTTTTTGACTCTGCTGATACGTCTAAGTCTACTAGGATTGGAACTGTCTCACGTTACGGAGGAAGTAAGTAAATATGTTAGGCAGATATCAGAACAAAGAACGCCATAAGACGCCCAAGCTGAGAGGTGAGTCAGAGAGAGAGACAGGACGAGGGAGCACACTGCCGAAGGTGAGTGACAAATACGAAAATGATAGAGGATAAGGCGAGGAGAATACCGCCGGGATGAGGTAAGTGAATTAAGTCCACCGTCGGAAGGATCGCAGCATGCATCACTCATGACGCTAACGCGCTTGAACACACATCTGCAGGACAGAATTCCACGGCGTCGGATAAAATTGCAGGATAGATTCAGTCATGGAGTCTTTCGAATCACACCGGTCAATGATCCGAAGGCGCCACTTGCGGGTGCCATGACTGCATGAGAGTACTGAGTAGGTACCTGTCTATGAGCCCAGTGAGACTGCGGTCGCCGGGGTAGCAGGCTTGTGTCCACCGGTTCGTTAGGTGAAAACGCGTAAGACGGTCTCTCACAGAAGGGCTGCAAGGGTCAGTAACCAACGTCCGGCCGCGGGGTTTTAGTAGGGAAACAGAGATGTGCCGTGAGCGGCAGAGGTTGACGGACCAATCATAAGCCACCGAGGAACGCTAATAACTGACGCTACCCGCGTCGATCTTTAGACAAGTAATCGGGGTCAAATGATGTAGTTAGAGATGTCAATCGGATACCAATTTTTTGGTATACCGATACCAAACCGATACCAACTTGGTATTTGGTATTTCAATCCTAATGTACTTGGTATTTTGTTGGTATTATGAGCCCTCACTAATGTATAAGAGGCTGAGAAATTGGTAAAAAGTCGGTATTTCCCTCATGTTATGAAATTGGTTCGGTATCGGTATTTCTTCATCGCTTATGTTGGTATTTGGTTTGGTATCGGTATTCAGATTTTCTGTAATTGACATCACTAATGTAGGTGTTCGAAGAGAGTGGGCCGGCAGAGATTGATTGAACCAATCACACCCATCGACGAACGCTAATAATGTAATCGCTACCTGCGTTGCACCTTAAGACAAGTAATCAGGGTCAAGTGATGTAGGTGTTCGAGGATATTGGGCCAGGGAGCCCAAGAGGTGCTAGGAAGAGCACACACAATTCCAATGTTGGAATGGGGCGCGATAAGTCGTTGGGAGGTAAGAGTAAGCTTAGATGAAATTTACACTAATCACGGAGTCTATTGAACAAATTGCGTTTATTGTCCCTGATATGTACCGCTGGAGGGAGTTAGAACAATTGCTGGGAGGGACTGAGGGGTCGACGCGGGATCAAATTTATTGTAGTGGGATGAGAGAGGTATGACAAAGAGAGTGAGTCTGAGGGAGATTGAGGTATGCGTCATTTAGTGTAAGGACCAGCGGGAGATCTAATCTCAGCATTGAGGGCGACATTAAATGGGGATGTACTCGATTATCTTTGGGATGATAGGCATTAGAAAGGGAGAGAATGGTGGGTAGCTATCAGGTATCAGATGGTGGCTTCAGGTTATGTCCTCAAGGGAGGCATCAAAATTATATGCTTTGGGGAGACATCCGTGTCCTAAATTCCTTATGAGACAGATGCCATCCTAGGCAGTGAAGACTATATGTTGACAAGCAACAAGCCAGCCTCATTATAAATATTGTTTGTGACGAGCCCCAGGCGCAAGGAACGGTGGCGGAAAGGAATCGGTCAGCTTGAAACCAACGGACCGATCAGCAATTGGAAATGGGTGTGTAATTACGTTTGAACAAGAGAGAAATCAAACAGCAAGAAAAATCAACTCATTAATCAACCATTTGAGGATCTACCAGCCGAAAACACTCACCTGAGGTTGTTCCAGAGCACGGCGCAGGTCGGCAACCATCTCGGAAAGAAAAACACCCCCGATGAAAGAAATTTTATTAAACCATATTTTTTTCGAAAACATACTCCCCACCGCTTCCGGACCCCCAGGGGGCACACGTCACAATTACACAAGTTGTAAGTGATTTGCAGATTATCTGAAGGATAATATGATTTCTTCCTTGATAGAAAACTTGACGATTTATTGGAAGGCTTTAAACAGTTACTTTTTGATGGAGGAAAAAAACTTTGCCATAAGTATGTATGCCATGGAGTAAATAAAAGAGCCCACTCTTCGCCGCGCCCGGGAAAAGAAGAGGTTCGCTTTTTCTATCCATGCTCAACTTTCCCCACGACGTGTCTCAACTTACCCCGCCCATGGGGTAAGATGAGCAACGTGCAAGATGATTTTTGACGCAGCCTTTCAGTACAAAAATAAGCGGTATGAAACATTTCTGGCCACCATTACATGCGCAAATGACCACTCTGTCCGTCCAACCCGTAAACGCAGAAAAAATGATCAGTAAGTTAGCCTGTAGCTTACGAAAAAAACGGCTCAACTTAGCTCATTCTCCCCTACGTGACACAATTGAGGGCATTTTTTTAGGCCATCACAGTATTTGTCAACAATTGTTGTTTGGGGGACTGGGGAGGGTGGTTACTGGCTCATTAACTGCCCCCCACCCCCCCCCCCCCCAAAAAAAAGAAAGAAAACGAAACCGATCATCCGCGAAAAGAACTATTGAGCTCGAACCAAGGTGACGAATCGATTTATAGGTATGCAGGATGACTAACGATGCCACTTGTGGACTTCTTGTGTCAAATAAATTCCATCATCTGGATAGCACGTCAACTCTGTGGTATCACTATTTGACATTTTGCAACAAACGTATACTATTTGGCGCGACTAGCCTCATAAATGTTCTGAAACTAAAACCGTTTCTTCGCAATTAACTTGGACCACGTCGTCCCAGCTTATGCACGACCAAAAAAAAGATAACGCTTCAGGATCACTGGCCCGAATTCCAATGCTTAAAGTTTACTCAAAGCCGGTGTGGCTGAGGCACTCTTCGCTACATCTCGTGACGGCCACCATTGTGTTGCATTTTTCGGTAAGCTATAAGTTAATAAGGAAAGGATTGGTGAGTGGGTTGAAAACAGCCCTCACCCTCCACCCCCCCTTCTTCTGGAAACATAAGTAAACGAAAGATCTGGCGATGGTTTATCCACTCTCCTCTGCCGCCGCGCTGCGAGGCCTCGATTCGTTCGGTATGTGGCTTCCTGAGCGGTCCTCCCCGGAGGCAAGGTGAAAGGTCATGGCCTGTATCAGAAATTTATACGTTGCTGAATATGTTTTATAGTTCTTCCAAGGCCTTGGACACCGTTTTATTATATCGGATAAGCATTGCAGTTTGCACTTCCTTGTCAATCAATACCTACATTTAAGGAAAACTTGATCATAATCTTATACTGCGGCAATTGTAGTTCTGCTTACGGTTGCCTCTTTATGATACGGGCCACCACCACCTCCACTGCGCTGGAGCTCAGGCGTTCTACCCCTCCCCGCTACGGACCGGCCCTCGGGCTAGGTGTGTTAGTACTGAGCGCAAACCTGTAGTAGTCACGTGACTTTCATTCACGTAGCGGGAACGGAAGCTATAGGCGATACCAAGGACGGGCTCTGGGGAGGCAACCGGCGCGGAAAAATAGCACGATTGTAGTTTTGGAAGAATATCTGTGGCGGTAAGAGGAATTAGACAAAACATACGTCCTAGGAGCAAACATGTGGTATTCCTCCATACTTTGCGCTACATTTCCTTTTTCCAATGGCCAGCGCTTAGCAAATAATACCGCAATTCTAAATTGGTAATATATGTGTACAGTAGCAACTGCGGGTCCCTGTACCTAGTGTCCCTAGTGGTGGTGACGCCCATGACCAGATCTACTAAACCGCCATCTCGAAATTTTAAAATTGTAGGATTTTAACCCCCAAAAATAAAAACAAACTTTTTGATGACAAAACTAAAAAAAATCCAAAAAGAAAAATGTATTCGAATTTCAAAAACGGAATATATGTGATAGCCCCTATCCACTTCTATTCACATACCAAATTTTAGATCAATACCACTTTTTGGCCAAGTTATAGTGAAAACAACTTCAAAGTTTATGACGTCAAATTTTCAAGCCCAATTTTTAGCAATTCTACACAACGTAGCGCAAAACAAAGACCACCATTAGACTTGCCGTGACGAGTTGCATCGGATCGATGCCCATTTTTTTTTTAAGCAAAAATAGCAACTTTGAAATTTGACCTTTTTTGACCTGACATTGACCTGACCTCCACCAGGAAGCGACCTAAACTGTCCTGATGGTCTTATAACCAACACCATTGAGTTGGTAATGAAATATTGGTCATAAAACATGCATCACAGTGCTCCGGTAAATTTTGATTCATTTGCTGACCCTTGGTGACCTGACCTGTAACCTGACCTGGTATTATAATTGACCTCTAATAGCAACATATGCACTAGGCAACTGACGCCCTACCGCTGATTTTCTACAAAATCTGTTTTACTCGATGATATAGCGCATTCCCTTGAAGACTCGTGAACGGCAAAACATTTTATCTTTGACCTGACTTGTGACGTCATCGGTGACCCCGAGGTCAATGAAATTGGATTTCCCTGGACAAATTTGACAGGGCCTTCGAACGCCGGTTTAATTTTGCAGATCCGTCCAGTTGTTTCGGATATACGAGGGGGAGAAAAAATAGCCCTCCCCCCCACCAGGTCGCGTTATAAACAGACTCCACCAGGGTGCGGGTTAAAAAGTGCGACACTGGCGGCACATGCTGCGCGAAAATAGATGATACCACCACTGCTCCGCAAACATGTTAGTATAGCCCTCGCCCGTGTAAGGGGGGGGGGGTCGAACGGACCCCCCCTCGGTTTTTCGCGAATAACTCGCGTAAAAAGCGGCCGATCGCGACGAAAGTTTCAGTACCCTCGCGTTAATTAATTTTACACCTACCCTTAAATTTTCATGACCCTGACCCTAAGGACCTTTGACCTGTGACCTACTTTTCGAGACCATGTTTGGCCGGAATCGCTATTCGGCGTATGTCGGCTCGCATTAGCAGCGCGTTTGCAGTCTTTTCGTGGTTTTAAGCGTTCAAACATGGGATATGATGTTGCTCCCATGCATGAGGGTGGGTGTCAAGGTCACCGGAAGGTCAAGTCAGGTCATTGACCTTTGATGACCTCGGTTCACTTTTTCGAGTTTTACATGTTTCTAGGCCAGTTTTTGGAGCTGAATTCGAATTTAGCAACCATATAAACATTTACGAAGTAGTTTTGGTGCCTTCGTAACATGTTACGAAGCTGTCAGAGGCGGTTGCCACCTACTACGAATACCCTTACTGGTTGACCTGACCTGACCTGACCCGACCTGGCCTATATGCATGAAGACATCATCTGTGATCAAAACTAACATGATATTCGTGATCAGCACCCCGAAAAACCCCATAGCAGCCACGCTTTACGACTTTATAACAGGTCCCGATTTTCCCGACCTTTGGGTCATTGACCTGACCTGGAAGGTCAACCGATGACCTAGGACCTTAAAATTGGGTATCATCGGCTTTCTCTCGTCACGGGCAACACGCTAGTTTTTTCCGCGAAGCTCTAGCTCGATCAGGGGCGAAACAGCAAGGGGGGGTCCAACAGACCCCCCCCCCCTTATACGTTCGCGGCTGGAAAAACACCAATATGGGCGAGGGATAAGGTTTAAAATCGCTAGATCTGCGCTGTCACAAATTCATAGGGGGCATTCAAATGCATTAGTCCCTCTGAATCCAAAGTGCTGCAAATTTGAAATTAAATATCTTCGAATTGAAGCCTTCCTCGATGTTGTGAGTGCGCAAACCGGTAAGTGCGAGCCAGGGACCCCAATTTGGCTATCTCACAACTCAAAACTAATTTAAGGTGGGATGGTCACTTTACAGTTTATAAACCATGTCTCAGCTACGCGCTGTGACGTCATAGAACCAGTTCATGGCACGTTGTGACGTCTCAGAACTAGCATGTGGCACGTTGGTTACGTCATGAAAGCAGTCGCGTTGTGACGCCATAAGACCAGTGTCGCGCTGTGACGTCATAAGACCCGTGTGTGGTGCGCTGTGACGTCATAGGACCGTTGGCGCACTGTGGGAGCGCTATCAGCACTGCGCGTGCTATCAGCGGTGTGCTGATACCGGAGCTATCAGCGGTGTGCTGATATCAGCGCTATCAGTAGCGCTGTCGGTGTCAGGACCCGTCCACCCGGACTGGGATCGGCAGCGACATCGGTGAGGACCAGGGAAACAGGGACCAGAAGATCAGAGGACTGGAGGACCAGAGGACAGGAGGACAGGAGGACTGGAGGACTGGAGGACTGGAGGACCGGAGGACCGGAGGACTGGAGGACTGGAGGACTGGAGGACTGGAGGACTGGAGGACAGGAGGACTGGTAGACCAGGGGACCAGAGGACCAGTGGATACAGTGACCACAAGAGGATCGGAGGACAGGTGGATCAGAGGACCAGAGGACTGGGTGACCAGAGGACTGGGTGACCAGAGGACCAGAAGACCACCAGAGGACCAAAGGATCGGTTGATCGGTGGACCAACAGACCAACGGCTGGACGGACGGATCAACGAACCAAAGGACGAACAAGCGCTCAAACGGACGGGTCAACGTACCTAAGAGCCAACCGACAGATCAAGGACAGACAGACCAACAGATCAAGGACGGACGGACGGACGGACGGACGGACGGACGGACGGTTGAACTGAAACCGGTAATCGTCTGCCGAGCCGGCAATATTTCAGGTGAGCTGCAGTTTCATGCTGAGTGCTTATAGCTATCTGAAAAAGTGGTTTCTTTGTGTTTTAAAGCTGTTTTTGTGTAGACTTAGCAGGGTCTGTGTGTTCAGTGACACCGGTTTTGTGTAGACTTAGCAGGGTCTGTGTGTTCAGTGACACCGGTTTGTGTAGACTTAGCAGGGTCTGTGTGTTCAGTGACACCGGTTTTGTGTAGACTCAGCAGGGTCTGTGTGTTCAGTGACACCGAGAGTGAAATGAAATTTCATTTTACTCTCGGTGTCCCATTTATATTTAATTATATATATATATATATATATATATATATATATATATATATATATATTTATCTATTTATTTATTTATTTATATTATTAGAATACTTTATTGTTACACCTATTCTTTATTTATATAAAATGGGTCTGGTGCAGTGACTTACATATATCGTAAAGCTGCAGCTGTGTTGATCGCTAAATAATGTTGTGGCCTGTATCGTAGAACTACGGTGGTGTTGATCACTAGATAATGCCGATTGTCAAGACTTAATAGTCAGTGACAATGCACTGCCATTTACCCATTTTGCCGTAGAAAGCAGTCATACCAGGTTTGTTTATGATAGCTCACGTAGTTAAAATCTCCCTTGTTTTTATGTGTCAGTGTATATTTCATTCCTACTTATGGCTGAGTTTTATTTCAGATATGCGTGCCGTTGCAAGTGTGTATCCATGGGCGCTCTCGCTGATATTCGGTAAGCATACCTTATGTAAGAGTTCATCAAATAATCGTATACAGACGATCACATAGTTCCTAAATTCTACTGTCCTACATTCTACTGCAGATAGGCAGCTTACTGGGAGAAGAGCATGGTTTATTTATCCTAGACGTAATTTTAGTTGCGGAACCCAATGAGCTTTTAAGGAGGTTAATAGTGGATGAAAATTGTCATTTTTTGTCGATGGCAAACACGAATTTGTTGAAGTTCTTTTGGCAAAAAATTCCATACATTACCGGTATAGGAACGCAAACAAACTCAGACTAGGATAATTTGCGGTTGAAATGAAAAATTAAGGCGCTTGCTTTTTTAGTGTTTAACCCCATAAAGCAACAAAAGTAAATGTGTCCAACATGATCGAAAAACAGACGATTCCATTTACTCAAGGGCCTAGCGTCCAAGAATAATAAATAACAGATTTTGTATTGCACACGGTCCTTTTTTTTTTGCTTTAGGAAAAGTTCGCGAGCATTTCTTTTCAAATACCTATCATTCAGCTTTTAAAAATCGTTTTAGTTAGATCATCGAACATCGATCGTTTTATCTTTCATCTATCATACCCTGAGTTTAAGATACAATTAAAGTCATCATATTTTTACAAGCTATCGAATGAACGCTTTAAACTTGTTTCCAATGTTTCCCATCAGTGCCCCATGCAAAGAGTTCTATCTGATCGATATCAGCTGATGTACGCATTACTTTCTCTCTTCTCATGCCCCCTTTTAAATGATGCATATACTGGCAAATCACCTCAGAGTTTCTGCCCTGCCTGACCGCCCCGCTGCAATGTTTTCCAGTGACGTCATGTGTGGTGGTGACGTCACTGGAGGCCGCCGAGCCGTCTGGGGCGGCGTCTGCTCCGTACAGACACGCCGGCGACCACGCCCTGGTGCACGCTGCGGGCGTCGAGACCGGGCACCGCGCAGAGCTGCTGGTCACAAACGGTGAGCAACCAGTGGTGATGGTGATAGTGGTGGTGGTGGTGGTGGTGGTGGGGTGACGTCAGCAACGTCCTTGATGGTCATTGGTGGATCCAGAATGGCGACATTGCCCGCTGTGGTGGTGTTGTGGCGAAATTGCTTGTTCGACGTCTAAAAACTATACAATGCCGCTGCATTATGCTTGCTGTGTGACTCAAAGAAGGCATTTTTCAAGGAAATGATGTTTGTTTGCTTTCATAACGAAGACATCGGTAAATGTTCATGAATTGCAGCTGCTGCAATGCCTGCGTCACTTAGGGAGAAGAGTGATCTTTTTACGAAAAGTATGCGCTTATTACCACCGCGCCGGGAGAATTCAAGTGATGTTTTTTACGCCATCACTGCGTTACCAGCCGATGGAACAAATTTCGAGTGTTCAACTGTATGTTTTTTTTTTGCGGTACGAGTTGCCATCCTTGCTTTTGTAGTCATTCGATCTTGCAAGATGCAAATGAACGGTAAGTCGATAAGAATCCGTCACATGTCGGTGGGTATCTCACCATCGGGTGATATCCAAAGCCCGCCTGATGCAGCATGTCTAGGAAAAGCGAGAAATCAGTGCATTGACAAACGGTAAAGGAATGCCACTGCGACTATGTTTGGTTTCAAACCAATTCATACAAATTTGAACCGAGGTGAGACTCGCTGCCGCATTACCTATCGGACCAGACAACGAATGACGCTCCTTGGTCTACATTTCAGCCGCTGCTGGGGGCACACCGCTGGCCGTGAGGTCCAGGAGGGACCTCCACTCTGGGAGTGAGGACGCCCAGTCCTCCGACACACCCGGCAGTGAGGAACTCCCTCCCGGCGGCGATGGTGGTGCCCAGCAGCCTCCTCCTTCTGATGGCACCACTAACGCTGCTTCCACCATCCGGTCACCAGCCGCGGCAGCAGTCGAATCGTCCGACGAGGGCGCCGCAGAACCGCGAGATGGCGGGTCTTCTGAGGCGGCCTCAGATGTGCCTCGGACAGTCCCGGAGAGTCGGACTCCTCCTCAGAAAACCCAGCCAGCAGACACTGATGACCACACGATATCAGTAGACGCTCCTTCAGCTGTGCCAGTTCTAGAGGAGGTAGAACAAGAAGATGTGGAGGCGCCTTCCGAGTCAGCAGCCTCACCGAAGGCCATTGGGGAAAAGGTATCCTCTCAAGTGACCTCCCCTGGCAATCCTGCAGTAGACCCGCCCTATCAATTGACTTCCCCTGATAGCCCTGCAGTGGACTTGCCCAAAGTCACCTCACTGACTTCAAGCCGAGACGACTCCGCGGCTGTGGTCTCGTCCTCGCCTTCACAAGTGGCCTCCCCTCCAACTAGCCCTGCAGTGGACTCGTCCGGACCCACCCAGACAAATGTTCCTAGTGCTGACACGGCTGATGAAGGAAAGGAAAGGGGAGCTCCGTCAGAGCTGCATGAAAACACATCCGACGGACCAGACGTAAGCAACAATAACAACGACGACGACAGCAGCGAGAACAGAAATGACAACAGCAACAGCAACATCAACAGTGACGATGGAGATGATGACAACAGCAGCAACGAGGACGGCGACATCACCGACAGGAAAACGACCAGCGAGGACGGCGCCGCGGACGGGGACAACTCCGCCGCTGCCACCAGCAGCTGGGTGCAGGACTCTGGTGACTCGGCGGAGGACCCGGGTGACTCGGCGGAGGACCCGGGTGACTCGGCGGAGGACTCTGGTGACTCGGCGGAGGACTCTGGTGACGACTCCACCCCGGGAGTTCGCCGGAGTCCGCCGAGGACGGTGAACGGCACGGTGCTGGAGGCGGGACCCGGCCCGTGGGACTCGCCGGCCGACCGCGCCCGGAGGAGAAACGTCACGACGTTCGCGCTGGTCATGTGCGGGATCGTGGGGGCGACGTTCGTCATCCTTGTCGGCATGTGGATCAACAGAATGAGGTGAGGATGAGGTCGGGGTCAACAGGATCGGGTGATGGTAACAGGATCGGGTGATGGTAACACGATCAGGTGATGGTAACATGATCAGGTGAGAGTGAATAGGATCGGGTGAGAGTTAACAGGATCAGGTGATGGTAACAGGATCGGGTGATGGTAACAGGATCAGGTGAGAGTTAACAGGATCAGGTGATGGTAACAGGATCGGTGATGGTAACATGATCAGGTGAGAGTTAACAGGATCAGGTGATGGTAACAGGATCAGGTGATGGTAACAGGATCAGGTGATGGTAACAGGATCAGGTGATGGTAACAGGATCAGGTGAAGATCCACAGGATCAGGTGAGGTTTAACAAAATAAAGAGAGGATCAACATGATCAGGTAAGAGCTAACAGGATCAGGTGAGGATTGACAAGTTCAGGCGAGGCTTAACAGGATCAAGTGATGATTGGGGTAAAAGTATCATACGAATAATCATGTTACAACAAAGTCAGGTGAGGGATAGAGATTAACCCGCGCCCCACTGGGGCGCGGGTTAATTTATAGCCCCCCTCCCGTTTTTCTGCAATAACTTCCAAACTGCTTGACGTATCAACACCAAACTTTCAGTACCTTCGGCTGCATCAATTTGACACCTGGTGTCAAAATTTGAACTTCGTACCTACCATAGGTCAGCCGAAAATGACGTCAGAGTGACGTCATGTTTGGCCGATTTCGACGCAAAACATTGAACCACGGCAATCGCTCCCAAGAGCTCAGTTTTTAAGCTAGATCCAATTTCTTTGCATGAGAGGACTCAGAATTGACTGCGCTATGAAACTGCTATCTTGGATTTTCGAAAGTTTGAAAATTTCGAAAATTTTATATAATAAAATTCAAAATTTATATTTTTACATTTTTTCCAATGTTTTTTAACTTTTCGAAAAAAACGGAATATATGTGATAGAACGCATTATTATGACTAACTCTAGCAAGTTTTAGCTAAATATCTTCAAAAATGGCCAAGATATACGCATTATTGCAAAAAATTAACAATTATTAATTTTTCAAATCAATTTCTCAGCACGAATTTGACATCGTACGCCAATATAAATAGCAGAATCGTGTTCCTGAGCTCAAATTGCATCCAATAGACACCTTTTTTGTTAAAAAAATTTAACTTCAAAATTTGACCTTCTTTGACCTGAAAGTGACCTGAGCTAAGCTAAATTTGACTCAAAATGACCTCGAATAACACAGACGACATCAAATTCGAAATTTTTGGCTTAAATGGACCATAAAACATGTGTCACGTGACCGACGGATGATATAATATTTTCGTGACCAGTGATGACCTGACCTTGACCTGAAAATCAAAGTACAAGTTTGGTACCCTCAGAGTATCTAGAGCATCTGTTCACGAGTGTGTGAACCAAAAACGAGCCTGATCTGACTCGTAAGACGGCGGCCAGAGCCCAAAACGTGAAGAAGCCAAAATGCTAATAATTTTCACTTTGACCTGACCTGTGACGTCATCGGTGACGTCGAGGTCAATGAAATTAGGTTTCTTTCGACAGTTTTTCCGGGGCTATCAGACGCCGTTTGAATTTTTACGATCGGCCCAGTAGTTTCGGAGTTAGGAGGGGGGGGCTATGAATAGCCCCCCCCCCCCAGTAGGGCGTGTTATGCGCGATTCCAGGACAAAAAGTCAAAAGACAAAATGTCAAAAGACAAAAAGTCAAATGCAAAAAGTCAAAATGGATAAAAGTCAAATGGAAAAAAGTCAAATGGATAAAAGTCAAAACGGATAAAAGTCAAAAGACAAAAAGTGAAATGGCAAAAAGTCAAAACGTCCAAAAGTCAAAAATGCAAAAAGTCAAATGGCAAAAAGTCAAAATGGCGAAAAGTCAAAAACGCAAAAAGTCAAAAGCAAAAAGTCAAATGGCGAAAAGTCAAAATGGCAAAAAGTCAAAAACGCAAAAAGTCAAAAGCAAAAAGTCAAATGGCAAAAAGTCAAAATGGCGAAAAGTCAAAAACGAAAAAAGTCAAAAGCAAAAAATTCAAATGGCAAAAAGTCAAAATGGCGAAAAGTCAAAAACGCAAAAAGTCAAAAGCAAAAAGTCAAATGGCAAAAAGTCAAAAAACGCGAAAAGTCAAAAGACAAAAAGTGAAAAAACGGCAAAAAAGTCAAAATGATAAAAATCAAATGGAAAAAGTCAAATAAGAAAAAGTCAAAAGTAAAAAGTCATATATCTAAAAAACCATAAGACAAAAAGTCAAATGATCAATGTCAAAATTCCTAGAAGTCAAAAACCTCAGTCCTCTAACTGCTAACATGTTAACTGCGGGAGCTGCAGCCCCCGCAGTCATCCTCCAAACTGGTCACTGAGGGGTACCTTAGTCATTTTTTAGTCTTAGACGTTTTTGGTAGGGGTTACCTTAGTCATTGCCCGTGATCGGGCCCCCCAGTCAAAACTGCTTAGAGGAGGCACTGCTTTTCACCCTCTCCCATGGGGGAGGGGCTGCCGCCGCCCGGTGCTCCGCGCACCACGGACGCCACGCGAGCGCTGTTGGCGCGGCGGCGCGCACCGCTCGGCCCGCGCGCCGAGTATACGGTGGTGAACCGGCAGTGTCGAGCGGCCATCAGACGTGACCACGCGGCATACTATGCTGACCAGCTGCGTGAGGCAGGACCGGCGAGGATGTGGACAGTGCTGCGGCCGGTGATCGGGGCGGGGAAGCATGGGCGTAGGAACGGCTGGAACATTGTGGGTGCATGGGTGCAGAAATCTAGCCATGGCCGGTGAAGCGGGGGGGGGGGGGGGTAGGGAGCGACACCCGAGCGAAGGCTCGTTACGAGCTTTGAGGGTGTACCTACCATTTCGAAAAGGTACCGACCGATAAGTGCATTTGGAAGCATTGATCCTCGCATGTTTAGGGGGGTCAGATGAACACCCCCCCATGTTTTTTGCAAATAACTCGCGCAAAAAGCGGCCGATCGCGACGTAACTTTTAGTACCCTCGAGTTGATCAGTTTTACACCTACTCTGAAAATTTCATGACGCTGACCCAAGACCTTTGACCTGTGCTGTGACCTGATTCTCGAGACCATGTTCGGCCGGAATCGCGATTTGGCGTATGTCAGCTCACATTATCCGTGCGCTTCCAGTCTTTTTGTGATTGTAGACGTCCAAACATGTGAAATGATGTTCGTCCCATGCATCACGGTGGGTGTGAAGGTCACCTGAAGGTCAGGTCAGGTCATTGACCTTTGATGACCTCGATTCACTTTTTCGAGTTTAGCATGTTTCTAGGGTAGTTTTTCAGGCTGATTTCGGATTAAGCATCCATTTAAACGTTTACGAAGTAGTTTTAGTGCCTTCGTAACATGCTACGACGCCGTCAGTGGTAGTTGACACCTACTATGGATAGCCGGTAGGACGCTTCATGGTTGACCTGACCTGACCTGACCCGATCTGGCCTAAATGCACGAAGAAATCATCTGTGATCAAAACTAACATCAGATATTCGTGATCAGCACCCCGAAAAACCCGATAACAGCTTCACTTTACGCATTTCTGGCAGGTCCCGATTTTCCCGACTTTTGGAATATTGACCTGACCTGGAAGGTCAACCAATGACCTAGGACCTTAAAGTTGGGTATCATCGGCTTCCTCTCGTCACAGGCAACACCCTCGTTTTTGCCGCGAAGCTTTAGCTCGATCAGGGGCCGAACAGCAGGGAGGTCCGACCGACCCCCCCCCCCTCCCCTACACTGGAAAACGCTGCACACGTGCGAGGGTTAATATTGTCAATATTGACTACCGCAAAAAGTAAAAGCGGCCAACTTAGCCATTTTCGAAGATATCGGGCTAAAAATTTGGACAGTGGGTCATTGGTTCGGTATGTGTTCAATCACATGCTCCATTTCCTTTTTTTTTCTTCAGCACAAATGTATTGAAGACCATCTGCACAGTAGCAAATGCTTCGAAAGATGGATAGTAGGCAACATATCCTGAATTTGCCGTGCTGTATGGGAAGTAGTGTTGATGAGAAAAGGGGTTTTGGTTCAGATTATTGTGGGTGCAGAATACATGGTCTGCACCCACTGGAGAAATAATATGGGTGCAGCTGCACCCTTGCACCCATGGTTCCTACGCTTATGGGAAGAGTGCCACTGCTGCTGCGCCAGCGTGCACGCCGGAAGCGCTCAACGCGTATTATGTGAGCGTGGGCCCCACCACCGCAGCCAGCGTCCCTGCCCCGCTGCTGCGGACCCCGGTACCTGTCAGAATCCCTCGCGTACTCACATGTTCCTTACAACTTCAGTGGGTAGGGTACGTTGCGCTGTATAATATTTTTTTTTTCAAAAGATGAAAAGATCGATGCTTCGACTTTTATCCTTTTGACTTTTTATTTCAGACTTTGACTTCGACTTTTCTATTTTATACTTTTTCATTTTTTGACTTTTTGTCTTTTGACTTTTACCCGTTTTGACTTTTTGCTTTTGACTTTTTGTCTTTAAACTTTATTCCGTTTTGACTTTTACTCGTTTTGACTTTTTGTCTTTTGACTTTTTTCCGTTTTGACTTTTATCCTTTTGACTTTTTGCATTTTTGACTTTTTGTCTTTTGACTTTTACACGTTTTGACTTTTTGCTTTTGACTTTTTGTCTTTTGACTTTTTTCCGTTTTGACTTTTATCCTTTTTGACTTTTTCATTTTTGACTTTTTGCATTTTGGACTTTTTGTCATTTGACTTTTTGCGTTTTTGACTTTTGCACATTTTGACTTTTTGCTTTTGACTTTTTGTCTTTTGACTTTTATCCGTTTTGACTTTTATCTTTTTGACTTTTATCCCGTTTGACTTTTTGCATTTGACTTTTTGTCTTTTGACTATTTGTCTTTTGACTTTATTCCTTTTGACTTTTTGTCCGGTTACCGTTATGCGCAGACCCCAGTGGGGCGCGGGTTAATAGAAGCAGGTGAGGAATGGGGTAAAAGAGTCAAGTAAGGAATGGGGAATAATTAGCAACAGCATCAAGTGAGGAATGAGGTGACAGGATCAGAAGAGAAATGGTGGATGAGTAACAGATTCTGGTAATGAATTGGAGAAAAGCTAACAAGAGCAGTTAAATGGGGAAACAGGTATCACAGTCAAATGGGAAGTGGATAAATGTGTAAAGGCCAAAGGGGTCCAGTAAGAAGTGGAAATGTGGAAATAGGTTGACAGTCAAGTGAGAGGATATGGTACAAATAGCTAGTGCGACGTCCGTCGTCTAGCCCTCGCCCCTATTGGTGTTTTTCCAGCCGGCAAGGGGGGGGGGTCCGTTGAAACCCCTTGCCGATTTGCCCCTGATCGAGATAGAACTTCGCAGAAAAAAACGAGCGTGTTGCTCGTGACTATAGGAAGCCGATGATACCCAATTGTAAGGTCTTATGCCATTGGTTGACCTTCCAGGTCAGGTCAATGACTCAAAAGACGGGAAAATCGGGACCTGTTAGAACGTCCTAAAGTGTAGCTTCTACAGGGTTTTCGGGTTGCTGATTACGAATATCATGTTAGTTTTGATCACAGATGATGATGTCTTCATGTATTTAGGCCAGTTCGGGTCAGGTCAGAGGCCAGTTTTACCAACATAAAAATAGCTGCCTGCCGGATTTTTTTGCCGAAAGACCGCTTCACATGCAGAGCGTAAGCGGGGTGGGCACGTAAGCGGATAGGGCATTACCGTTTATACATACGCTTCCTATGTGAAGCGGTCTTTAGGCAAAAAATTCCGGCAAGCGGCTATTTTTCTGTTGGTAAAACTGACCTCAGGTCAGGTCCCAGCAGGGGTCCTGCCGGGTATTCGTTGTAGGTGTCAACCGACCCTGAGAGCTCCGTTACATGTTACGAAGTCAACAAAACTAGTTCGTAAATTTTCAAATGGTTCTAAATTCGAATTCAGCTCCAAAAACTAGTCTACAACCATGTAAAACTCGAAAAAGTGAGCCGAGGTCATCAAAGGTCAATGACCGGACCTGACCTTCAGGTGACCTTGATGCCCACTCTAATGCGTGGGACCAGCATCATATCACATGTTTGAACGCTTGAAACCATGAAAAGACTGCAAACGCCCAGCGAGCCGATATACGCCGAATCGCGATTCAGGCCAAACATGGCCTCAAGAAATAGGTCACAGGTCAAAGGTGGTTTGGGTCAGGAGCATGAAATTATTAGAGTAGGTGTAGAATTGATTGGCTCGAGGGTACTGAAACTTTCGTCGTAATTGGCCGCTTATTACGCGAGTTATTCGCGAAAAAAATTGAGGAGGGGGGTCCGTTCGACCCCCCCCCCCCGATACGGGCGAGGGCTAGCATAACACAAATTATGGATAATATTTTATGTTAGCTCAAAGCGAAGCGAATAGATTACACGGCTAAAAACTCTGAAAAGCCAGAGAAAGATAAACAAGCTACGTTTGAATCATTACGAAATCACTTATATATGTAGTCACAGGAGCATGACCAGTGCATCTGGAACAATAGTATTTGGATCAAAGATGTGAATTGCGATGATGTCTTCGAAGTTTCAGTGACTTTGGCCACGTATCTGGCTACGTTCCTTTTGTTCTGAGCAGACATCTATCTTATCAATGTAATTCCCGAATACCGCTCTCCGCCGCGGTGGGTTCAGATCGTGCCCAGATTAATGCCGTCGTTAGGATCCGGTCAATAAAAACATAAACACTCGAGCGGTTTAGGTTCACCTTGTATCCGGGAAGAAGAGAGAGAGAGAGAGAGAGAGAGAGAGAGAGAGAGAGAGAGAGAGAGAGAGAGAGAGAGAGAGAGAGAGAGAGAGAGAGAGAGAAAGAAAGAGAGAGAGACAGAGACAGAGACAGAGACAGAGACAGAGACAGAGAGAGAGAGAAAAAAAAGAGAGAGGGAGAGAGAGAGAGGGATAGAGAGAGCATGTGTATTATCCTCGCTATCTTCATGATACGGTCATAGCCCACTTTTTGCTAGCTAGTGTACCTCAACCGATCTCATTTTTTTGCGCTTTTCACCTGGTGTCTGTTCGTGTCTCTATGTATATCTTGCTTGCCTCACATATCTTTTATCCTTGAATAACGGTGGATTTATAACTCTGAATTACCCCGAATTTCACCTTTCTCTTCGCGTTGAGACTCAAGTTCCCCTTTTCTCATAAGCTTAAGCGGCTTCTTCGGTCTTCCTCATTTTACGCGCCTCTTCTGATTCTGGCATGTCTTTTTCTCTAAACTCTCGCCTTTTGCAACTCTGATGTGAAAATGATCTTTTTCAATCTCACGTTAGGTATCTCACGTGTGTCTTCTCTTTTAGTATCACGAGCCGTTAGTTTCTCTGGAGCTTAAGTGTTTTTATTTCTAAATCACCTTGAATGTGACCTGCCACATCTGTCTGAAACTCACATTTTGTTCTTATTGATCTCACAATAGTCTTTTTCTCTCCAAATATCTCTAAATTTACACCTCTCTTTTCTCTCTCAATATCAAATTTTCTCTTCTTGTCTCTGAATCTTTTTGCATGTCATGCATCTTTCTTCATTTTGAATCTTTCTGAATCACAATATCTTCTATTTACGCATCTCCGTTTGCGTTACCTCTCTGAATATCTCTAAGTATCGTTTTCCCTTTTCAACTAATCTTTCGGAATCTCACATTTCTTTTTGCTCCCTATTATACCTCCCATTTCTCTTTGCTCTATAGCTAATCTTTTCTATATCTTATCTTTCTCTATATCTTATACTTCTCTTTGCTCTCTATATCTCACATTTGTCTCTACTCTCTCCATATCTCACATTCTTTCCTTTATTCGGCGGCTCTCACATGCTCCCTTTTCTCTCTCCGTATCTGACATTTCTCTCCATTCTCGCCGACTCTCACATGCTCCTTTTTCTCTCCGTATGTGACATTTCTCCCTTTTCTCGCCGACTCTCACATGCTCCCTGTTTTCTCTCCGTATCTGACATTTCTCCGGCCTTTCTCGCCGACTGTTTCGGCAGACACCGGGACCGACTGAGGAATCTGCAGGACCACGACGACGAGGAGTTCACCGTGTTCAGCGCCTCGGAGGCGCGCTACGTCACCAACTTGGTACGTACGGAGTTCAATATGGAGTTCACCGTGTTCAGCGCCTCGGAGGCGCGCTACGTCACCAACTCGGTACGTACGGAGTTCAATATGGAGGTCACCGTGTTCAGCGCCTCGGAGGCGCGCTACGTCACCAACTCAGTACGTACGGAGTTCAATATGGAGTTCACCGTGTTCAGCGCCTCGGAGGCGCGCTACGTCACCAACTCGGTACGTACAGAGTTCAATATGGAGTTCACCGTGTTCAGCGCCTCGGAGGCGCGCTACGTCACCAACTCGGTACGTACGGAGCTCAATATGGAGTTCACCGTGTTCAGCGCCTCGGAGGCGCGCTACGTCACCAACTCGGTACGTACGGAGCTCAATATGGAGTTCACCGTGTTCAGCGCCACGAGGCGCGCTACGTCACCAACTCGGTACGTACGGAGTTCAATATGGAGTTCACCGTGTTCAGCGCCTCGGAGGCGCGCTACGTCACCAACTCGGTACGTACGGAGCTCAATATGGAGTTCACCGTGTTCAGCGCCTCGGAGGCGCGCTACGTCACCAACTCGGTACGTACGGAGTTCAATATCGAGTTCACCGTGTTCAGCGCCTCGGAGGCGCGCTACGTCACCAACTCGGTACGTACGGAGCTCAATATGGAGTTCACCGTGTTCAGCGCCTCGGAGGCGCGCTACGTCACCAACTCGGTACGTACGGAGTTCAATATGGAGTTCACCGTGTTCAGCGCCTCGGAGGCGCGCTACGTCACCAACTTTTTACGTACGGAGTTCAATATGGAGTTCACCGTGTTCAGCGCCTCGGAGGCGCGCTACGTCACCAACTCGGTACGTACGGAGTTCAATATCGAGTTCACCGTGTTCAGCGCCTCGGAGGCGCGCTACGTCACCAACTCGGTACGTACGGTGTAATGTAATATCGAGCCATGTAATGTTGTTCGAGGGCCCGCCAGATTGCTATATTCGTTTTTTTAAGATTGACCCTTACTGTGAACATTTTTTTTAACGCAGCATCAGAATTTCTACTTGAATTACTGAGAAAAGTGGTTAGCGCACATTGTATTAACCCGCGCACCGACGGGGGTCTGCGCCAACTTCGTACCGACGGGGGGGGGGGCGGATGACCGCCCCCCCTGAGATCTCGAGAACGAAGCAAGATAGCGACAAGCGGTAAACGGCAAGGGATACGCACGGATAAGGTCTACAATTTTTACAAAGGTCATTTTCAGGTCAGGTCAAAGATGACGTCACAGGGGTCAAAAAAGTCAAAATGGCGGCGCTAGGTATAGGGAGAGTTTTTCTCGAATAACTTTCGAACTAGTTAATATAGGAACAAACTAAGGGCATCATCGTGATCCTCTCGTCAATCCGCATCGAATGATGTATATGTTGACCTCGAAAGGTCAAGGTCAAAGGTTGACCTCAGGTCACGTGACCTCGAGGTCATCATGTATAACATTCGATGCGCCTTGACGAGCTGAACACAATGAGACCATCCGCGCGGCTGTATCTTGTTCCTGTACGGAGTTATTGTCAAAAAACCGCTGGTGACCTTTGATGACGTCACATGACCTTACAGCTGCCCAACAGCAAAACAGACCTCAAGGTAGTGAAGGTTGATCGTATATGAGGTCATGTATGGTTTATGGGGCCATTCCGACCCGTTTTAGTGGTAAAAACAGGGAGTTGATTTTTCCCCCATTGACTTATAATGGGGAGGTCGAGAAATTGACCTGACCTTCGGTCATCGATATCAAAATTCCGAGATACACAAATTGTAGCTACTAATGACCTTATAACATCCTGCGACTTTCAAAGGCCTCCGACATCTACTATAGCTCTGGCACGATGACAAAGTTGCAAAAAAGTAACTTGAGGTTGGGTCATTCAAAGCGACCTGGTGACCTGACCTTAAAAGTTAGGAGGTTCAAACTTGCACACCATGTGTAAAATTGATGAGAAAATAGTCGTACCAAATTTCGCGGCGCTACGCGCCGCGTTTTTCCCGCTATTTGCGAAAAACCTCAGGGGGGGGGGGGCGGATATCCGCCCCCCCCGTCGGTGCGCGTGTTAATTAAAGATATATGAATGATAATTTCAAGATAAGTTGAGCAATTAACACTAATTATAATTGCCGTTTTCACGATGGTCATCTGGTACACATTTGGTGCAGAATAGTTGCAAATTTGGTGCGAATTTGTTCAAATTAGGTTCATTTTGTTTCTCAGAAGTCGTCTGTTTGGGTTGCACAGATGCTTATAGATCCCTTTTTTAATTATCAGACAAATTTCGATTAAAACACTGAAGTAAATTAAGATATGAAGACATTTGCTGTAAAATAGATTTGGTGCGGGTTAGGTCAAATTTGATGCATTCGTCAGACAGTCTGTCGTGAAAATGGCTAATGTACCGTTATGTTCAGCGCGTGCAATTCATTAATCAGCTATAATTCCTGGAAAGTTGTCTATCATTGTGGAGTTGTAAATATAGGCTAGTAAGAGCTGCGTACCTATCTGGGAAATAGGAGCCAGGTAGAAATATATGAACTTTTTTGTCTGTGAAACCAATGTGCGCCAACCAGCTTTCTCAGTAATTCAGCTAGCAATTCTCGTGCTGTGTGAAAAGAGACACAGTGAGGGTCGAGAAAAAAAAGTACTATAATCGTATCGTAATTGCTCCACGACTAATATGATGCCATCGGATTAGTCTTACGACCTCAATAAAATGCATTTTTTCCTGTGCTTAACTAAAGCGTAGGCTCATATTTGACTTAGATTTCGTCTCCTGTTTGGTCCCCAGAGTGGCGGTGGCTATGAACCCCTAAGGTGAGGGATTACCCCGTCTGGTGGAGGATTCCTTCACCAGATAAAGGATTTGTTCGCCATGTGAAGGATTTCTTCTTGACTTCGGCACTGAAGTCGCATCAAGACACATAATACATCCTGGCCAAGTGTGGTTGTCTAATGCTATAATTTTGTGCTGAATCATAGACCACTATATATCGATATATAGGGGTCTATGGCTGAATATTTGTATCGGGCCTTTGCTTCAGAGCAAACATTATATATCAGTGTAAGGACTGAAATATTTAGTCACATAGGCACTTGTTGTTTATCTATTATTGGTTTTATGCTACAACTATGTACCGAAGTAGCTTCATCAATATTTTGACCATTATTTTGGTTACCAATGGGTTTTCACAAATGCAATTGCGACTCTGATTGTTCAGCGTCTTTTTTTGTTATAAATAGTTATCCGACAACAAAATCACGAACAAGAAATTCGAACAAACATACTGAGTGGTGTCTAAACAATTTTTTTTCTTGATACCTGTTAAATTTATGTGTTCATAAAAAATGCCGGATGACAGATGATGTATTTCATGCATATCAATATCTAAGACGGATAGTCATAGATTTTGAAGTTCGTTACTATAGCCTGAAAACCGGGGAAAGAGCGTAGGCAAGGCGCCTAAATCACTTTACATGCGTTTTGCTCACATGGAAATGTATGGTTCAAAGACAATTTGTGTTAACCCGCGGCCCACTGGGGGGGGGGGCTATTCATAGCCCCCCTCCCGTTTTTCTGCAATAACTTCCAAACCGCTTGACGTATCGATGTTAGAGTGAGTTTGCGAAATCGGTGGATCCGCGGAGTCCCTAGGGAATCCACGGAGTCCCTAGTGGCTCCGCGGATGAACATCAAGTCTAGTATATTCGCGGATAAACGGGCGGGGATCCGCGGATGAACAAGACTCTTCAGGATAACCGCGAACTCCCTGAAGAGTTGACGAGATCCGCGAACCACCCAGGGAATCCGCGGAGTAACGATTCATTCTAGTGAGTTTGCGAAGGTCCTTTGCGTTTCATGCAGCTATCTTATGACAAGAATCAAGAATGCAAGGGCATATTGGTTAGATCGTCTGCGACTTAACCCTCGCCCGTATTGGTGTTTTCCCAGTTGCTGTTGGAATTCGCGGAGTAGGTACCGATTCATTCTAGTGGGTTCGTGAATTATTCTTTCATCTCGCTTAGAAGTCGCTCGCAAATATCAATATGCAATTAAATAATAGACGGTAAGCCATTTTTGGCGTGGTTGAACTTCTGCGACCAGTCTGCTTACTTTTCTCCCAACCATGAATGGAAAGCTGGAAAGGCGTCTGAGCGATCATGTGAATGTATGCAAGTTTGTATGAATAACAGTAATGCTCACTCTTCCTCAGGGGCGGAGCTTCCTGTACAGTTGGTGGGGCAGTTGCCCCCTCCCCCCAACTTGCCCTTTTGCCACAGCCGACCTGACCCGACCGGTCAGCACCGCGCCTACAGCCGCTCCAGCCCGGCGCCACAGTAGGTATATCTATTCTGGGGAACATTTGGACTGGAGGGGCAATGCTGAACTCCGATACGAGAACCCAACACGTACCTATCAACCCGCGCAAAAATATCAACTTTGAAATTTGAGCTAATTTGACCTGACCTTGACCTGACCTTCACCAGAGCATAACCTAAACTGGCCCCAAAGGCTGCCTTACCCACATAATCGCATTTGTCATGTAAAATGGACCATAAAACATGCATCACATCATATTTTCATATTGTGACCCTCTGTGACCTGACCTGGCATCAGTGACCTCAACTAGCAAAATATGTGTTTGAAGAACAATTCCCCATGGTTGATTTTCAGTGACATGCATTTTACTCGATTTTACAAGCACAACACATTTCTTGAGATGCCTGTAAACGGTGAAAATTCGACATTTGACCTGACCTGTGACGTTATCGCTTTGACCTAGGTCAATGAAATTGGGTCACAAGGTAGTTCCCCGATGGGGCTATCCAACACCGTTTGCGGCTTGCCGCTATGTTACGTGGTTCTCGAGATCTTAGGGGGGAATGCCCCCTCCCCCCCAATAGGGCGCGTTGCTCGGCAGACCCCAACGGGGCGCGGGTTAAGTCACAGATGATCTACCCAATATCCCATGCATTCTAGTCTAGATAGCTGTATGAAACGCATAGGAACTTCGCAAACTCACTAGAATGAATCGTTACTCCGCGGATTCCCCGGGTGGTTCGCGGATCTCGTCAACTCTTCAGGGAGTTCGCGGTTATCCTGAAGAGTCTTGTTCATCCGCGGATCCCCGCCCGTTTATCCGCGAATATACTAGACTTGATGTTCATCCGCGGAGCCACTAGGGACTTCGCGGCCATTCCCTAGGAAATCCGCGGATCCACAAATTTCGCAAACTCACTCTAACATCGACACCAAACTTTCAGTACCTTAGGCTGCATCAATATGACACCTTGTGTCAAAATTTAAACTTCGTAACTACTATAGGTCGGCCGAAAATGACGTCAGAGTGACGTCATGATCGGCCGATTTCGACGCAAAACATTGAACCACGGCAATCGCTCCGCAGAGCTCAGTTTTTAAGCTAGATCCAATTTCTTTGCATGAGAGGACTCAGAATAGACGGCGCTATCAAACTGCTATCTCGGATTTTCGAAATTGTGAAGATTTGGAAAATTTAATATAATAAAATCCACAATTTATATTTTTACATTTTTTTCAAAAAGTTTTTGATTTTTCGAAAAAACGGAATATATGTGATAGAACGCATTATTATGACTAACTCTAGCAAGTTTTAGCTAAAAGCTTCAAAAATGGCCAAGTTTTACGCATTATTGCAAAAAATTCACAATTGTTAATTTTTCAAATCAATTTTTCAGCACGTATTTGACATCGCACTCCAATATAAATAGCACCATCGTGTTCCTGAGCTCAAACGGCATCCAATAGACACCTTTTTTTGTTGAAAAATTTCAACTTCAAAATTTGACCTTTTTTGACCTGAAAGTGACCTGACCTAAGCTAAATTCGACTCAAAATGACCTCAAATGACACAGACGACATCAAATTCAAAATCTCGGACCTAAATGGACCATAAAACATGTGTCACGTGACCGACGCATAATATATTTTCGTGACCTGTGATGACCTGACCTTGACCTGAAAATCAAAGTACAAGTTTGGTACCCTCAGGGTATCTAGAGCATTTGTTCACGAGTGTGTGATCCAAAAATGAGCCTGATCTGACTTGTAAGACGGCGGCCAGAGCCCAAAACGTGAACAAGCCAAAATGCTAATAATTTTTACTTTGACCTGACCTGTGACGTCATCGGTGACCTCGAGGTCAATGAAATTAGGCTTAGCTCGACAGTTTTTCCGGGGCTATCAGACACCGTTTGAATTTTGACGATCGGCCCAGTAGTTTCGGAGTTTTTTTTTAATATTTTTTGCTGCCCGACCCGGGCTTTTGTCGTTAGTAGCACACATTCATACTGGGTTAGTACACTATATACACGGCAGTGGTACGAATCGTTTTCGGCACCCGCTACGCGGGACAGCCTTGACCGCACGCTTTCTGTCACGCACCCCAGGTGGCACCGCACTGGTGCGCACGCTGGGGCTATCCCGATTTCTCGGGCCCGGCAGGTCAGAGGGCTGCTCCGGGACATGAAGCGAGGCCGTGCCCTCGGGACATGTCACCGGACCGAAGGATCTGTTTAAAGGCGGATCAGGCCCGTGTACCTGCGGCCGAGGGCGCTGGCTGGCACAGCGGTAATCCCCACGACCGAGCGAACACTCCCCAGTTACTGCCATCTCCTGGGTAGGAGCCGGCCGAGGAAAACGCTGCCAGAGGTCAGCTTTGATCCAAGGACCTCCCACAACAAACGTGAACGCACTTGCCAACTGCGCCACAAGGGTGGTAGTAGTTTCGGAGTTAGGAGGGGGGCTATGAATAGCCCCCCCCCAGTAGGGCGTGTTATACGCAGACCCCAGTGGGGCGCGGGTTAAAGGACGTGATACCGAACGACTCTGGGAAAGAAAAATGGAAACCGAGGTCTTAAAAAAAAATGTAGACACCAGGCGTAGCCGAGTGCCGGATTTTTTTTTTGTTATTTGAAGACCGAGGTTCTTATTTTTTCCTGAGCAATCTCAGAAAGATATTTACCATACGTCGTCAAACCATTTTTGTTAAAATTATAAAAAAAGTTTATTCTTATTTAGTTTATTCAGTTATGATTGATGAGTCATTATCATTGATCGTTTATAAATAGTTTTTATTACGTCGTTCTTTATTAAAAATCACCAGAACTGTGGGTTATCATGCCGGATACCCGTGCCGGAAAGCAGTGCAGGGAAGATAATGTGCAATGTTTCCTGCACGGCTAGGATAATGCTAAAGGGATATATCGGCGTATGGGAAAGAAAAGTTCTCGGATATATTTGAGGCAATATAAAGTCACATGCATCAACGGCGGTTGCTCTTTTAAAGGCCGGTTCTCTCTGAGGTTTGTCAGACTATAGTCAGTCATTATGAGTGCCATCGTCGGTGACCCTGTTATTGGCAGTGTTCATGTTATTATCAGGGCAGTTGAAAGTTGATGTGTCATTACCTGTGTCTGTGTCAGTGTCATAAAAAATGTCATGCTGTCAACTGATGGGTTGACAACATTGTATTACCAGCTACCAGAAAGTTACCTAGCTAAAAGGAGGAGTTGTGAGTCCTGAAATAAACTGTCGTGATTCCTGTCACCTTTTCCTCGCTTCTGAACTTATAGGCGGTGTCAGCGGTGGGTCTTTGAATGCTGGTAATGAGTTTTTTAACAATAAATCAGCGTTGACAGTTACATGTGGGAGGAAATTTACCTATGCTTTTAATCATCGGTGCTTGAACATTGATTAAAATTGCAGTTACATAGGTTTTTAAATGATTAGGTTATGTCGAAATACCTACCTAAAATTGTTCCAGCTTGGTATGATGGGTTGAATTGGAAAAAAAAAAACTAGTCGCAACTGCTGTAGCGCAACTCTGCTCTTAACCCTCGCCCGCACATGCCATTTTCCCATCCTAGAACGCACATGGGGGGGGGGGTGGTTGCCACCCCCCCGCGCCGTTTCGTTCCTGTTGGAGATAGAGCTTAGCGGTAAAGACCAAAAAGATTCTTTGGGAAGAGACGAATCCAATGATACCCAGTTTTACCTTCTCAGGTCAGTCATTGACCTTCCAGGTCAGGTCAAACTAAAAAATGTTGCTGTTTTAGGTCACCGTTGGATATCAAGCGCGCTGCTTGTCATATACCGATGACGATGCCGTTTTCTGGTGCCAAGCCAGCTAGAACCTCTTTGTCACACTACCCGACCAGGTTTTTGCTGCTGAGGTCATCTCAGGTCAAGTTAGGTCAAGGTCAATAATATGTGTTTGTATGTCTGTGTGTGTCCGTGTGTATACTGATGTGTGCACCGATAGATTATGTGTCCATATTACATGAAATCATGATCTGAGAAGCTTTTACCAAAAATGTAGTCAAAAAATTTCAAAAAAAGTAAATTCAGCTTGCCTAAAACGCAATTATCTTAGATGACCTAGGTTGACCTTGACCCTGACCTTGACCTCTGTACATCGTCGAACAACATGTTTCATGATAGGTGGGAGGTAGGATTGGCATAAAAGGCCGAAATCAAGGTGTT